AACGTGAAATGGGCAAGGGTTGGATTCAGCCATTGACCCTAAGAGAAGTTCTTGAAACACTCCCAGAGTCTTTGTTAAAACAGTTTATATACTATATGTGCTTCTATCTTAGAAAAGAGCTGGCCATGCTGGTATACAGTGGTTTCAGAATAGATGGCACAATCTCCAAAGATGTCTTAGACCACTGCTGGTCCAGTCCATTGCACCACCCTTCAAAGCCCCACGCGCACGGAGACGCCAGCGAGACACGGGACGAGGCTTCGCCGAGACACATGTGAGTCTCGGTTTGTCGCGCGCTAAAGGCACGGATCACAATGCCCATGTACGCCTCAGTGGGAAGGTGGAGAGCCAAAACTGCACCGAAAGAGGTTTGACTCACCCCGGCTGCGAACTGCTCTTAGCTAAGTGGTTTCATGACATGAAAAAGCATGTTACGACCCCAAATGTCAAAGCTGGCTGGCAGTTGAACCCCTGGCTTCCATGCCAAAGTGCTTTGGCCTCTTCCTGCTTCTGCTTGTTCTTCCGAGCCTGGCTCCATGTATCTTGGGGCGGTTGGAACACTTTTTCAGACACACACACAAAGAGAACAACACAAAACCAAAGGCAACCGGCAACACCCTTGGCAAAAAATTCCAGTTGACCATGCACAAACTGAACCACAGTTTAGAGCCAACTCTCCCTGTTTGTACAGGTCAACCATCTTCTAATCTCTTCCAATCTTGGCCATTTTCCACACCATGTGTTGTTGATGTGTCAGATCAACCACAGATCAACCATCCTTGCCCGCCTCAGTGCGTGTCATGCCACCGGTCTGCAGCAGCGAGATTGGGCCAAAGGGGCCCTGGAAATTGGAGCGATGTTTGTTTTCGGGTCTGTTGGAAGCGAGTTTGGCGGCGGTTTGGGTGTTTTGGGTGTTTTTCACCAAAGCTGTTGGCAGTCCGTCCAGACTTGGAACGAAGCTGCAAGCGCATGGCAGCAAGCGAAAAGGCGCTTGCTGCATCAGCTAGAGTCAGCTAGAGCTATGGCAGCAAGCCCCTTTGATAGACAAGGCTGCAGGCTCCTGTGATTGCTGGAGCTTCACCAGGTTGGTGGAAGTCGATCAGAAGAAACAAAAACACTACATCTTTCCTGGCTGAAGGGACGAGGCGCCCAGCCACTGGAGCATCCTCTTTCACGCCTGTGGTGAGTTGAATTTGTCACGTTGGTCATTGGTGGGGCCAACAGCTGGTCCAAATCTTGTCGAATGAGTTGTGGACATCTTTGATTTGATGAGTCTCTTTGGCAACATCTTTCTCTCCCGTACGACTTGCGGACATGCAGCCATGCCACTTGTATTAACTATGTGTCGCCCTTCGATGAGGCTCGATGCTTCACTCTGACCATATGTCCCGTCCCACTCGCGCCTCCGCCCGGGGCGGCGGCGGCGCGGGATAGAAGCGGAAGAGGTTGGCCAGGCGTTCCACGCCTTCCCAGAAGCTGTAGCGCACCCCGGCCGCCTCGGGCGTATCCTTGGTTCTCATTTGCATCTGCGAGGCGCGCGCCGCAAGCCGTGGTTCTGTTTGTTTGGGCTGCGGGTGGAGGGGGACAGTGAAGGACGGGTGAACAAATTGTAAAGGTGTTGAATTGAGTTGCGCAAAGCATGCGAAAAAAGAAGGCTGCACCAGGACTGACACACTCCTAAGAACTGGTGATGAGCAAGTAACTCCGCCAGCCACAGCCATAAGTGGCCACAAGTGAGCATTCTCTAAGAGTGGCTTCTAGCGGGTTGTGGCTATAACGATGTGTTTGCCAATCCGTTCGAGTCATGAAGGACAACGACAACAACGACGACAACGGGTGCACAACATTGTGATCTGAATGAGCTCATGACATCTAATGTGGGATTAATGACCTTGTCATTCCAAGTGTGTGAACACATCATGATCATCATATGATCATGGTTCATTCTAATATTGATCTGATATCACCTGGTCCAATTCAATAGTCCTGCAGCTCCCTTGATATCAATCTCCCTTGGTTTATTAAAGGCTTAGTTGCAAGTTGCAACACTTGACGTTCATGGAACTGGGTGCGGCTACATATCATTGTGTAAGCTATGCATGCATGTTTTCAGCCGATTCTTTCTTTTGCCCGTAGCTTTGGATGGGATTCTTTTTTGGGCTGAATCCCGGGCCAAGTCTTGCACCAATCCCTCGGCTCACGCTGCTCACTACGCAGGATTCCATCAGTCCTCGTGCCCAACCCTCTCGGATAGAGAATTGTGAACCAGTGCCCTATACGCCCTAGAGCCATCCAAAAGGCAAATGTATCTTTCTTCAAACGTTCTGGGGGAACCAGCTGGCAAACTCCAGTTAGAAAAACTGGTTCACCGGCCTTCCTCAGCAGGGCCTCAGGGCCTTCGCCAAAGGCTCCGATTCCAACTCCTCCAAGGGCCGCGAGTGCTCTTCGACCAAGATCCCTTTCGCCTTAATGCCTCGTTGCCCAAGGAAGCCTCAGAGGTGCCAGGACGTGCCCCCAACGGCGAGGGGTGTCCAGCTGAAGCGTCGGTGGTCTGAGGTCTTTCAGGTTTTTCAGAGCGACAGTTATCCCAAACACTCCATTCGGTATTTCAAAGATGGCGTGTCTGGGTATCATCATCAATGATCAAATCAAAAATGCACAAATATTTCCAGGGATCTGCTTCAATATACTAGCATTTGGGCGAACATGGGTGCTCTCAAGTCTAGAGAATGTATAAGGATCGTGTTTTCTTGAGGTGCTGTTCATTGACAAGTGCCATTCCCAAAACAAGGGGAACTTAAACTGCTTGGTGGTTTCAATTCACTGGTTGAAAATATTAGCAGTTGGGATCAATCATCTCAAGTAAGTAAAAGGTTGAACAAAAATATCCGAAAACACCCGCCGTGATTTTCCATGTGTCAGACCCTGACATGTGTCTTCCAGGCCCATGAAGCCCCGGCTCTGAGCCAGTGTACATGTTGAAGCCAGTGAAACCCATTGAAAGACCTCCAAAGAAAAGCCGGAAAGACCATGTGCCTCGCTGAGAGAATCAAGTTAATTGTAGAATGAAGGGGTCGACTTGATTTCTCATTGAACCTCCTCCCCAGGCCTTTTGTAGCGTTTATATAAACCTCTTCAAATGGTATTGTTAAATAAAGAAACAACCGTCTACAGCGTCCAGCCAAATGCTGTGATCAATTATCTTACATCCAGCCACATCGACGAGCATACCAAGCCATATGAAAAACAAACGATTGACTATATAGCCCCCCAAATAGATAGAAAGGATCTATCTTCCAGGAACATCCCCACTCAAAATCTTTTGGACATCGTTTCTATATATCGTTTCTACATATATCCATAGATTCTCCACTCAAAATCCTATTCCCTTAATAACCATCGTTTCGTCTTCTCGTTTCCATTATTTAATGGTATATACAGCTATCATGTTCTATCCATGAACGGGGGCCATGAACGGGGGACGAACGCCCAGCTGCGCTGATCGTCGAAGTCAGGGAGGTCCTGGACGGATCGACCAGAGACCCGAGAGGAGCGGGTGAGGCCTAGCTGAGTTGAGGTCTATAGCCTTTCCAGGGCCAACTGGAATAGGAGTTCTATGGAGTCTCTATCAAGTTATACAAGTGGAGTCTATCATGCAAGTGGAGTTCAGTTGGAGTTCTATCATACAAGCGGAGTCTAGTCAGTGAGGCTTCTTTGGAGTTCGCAGTATCATGAAATGCTGTTTTGAAAGGGTAGCTTGATGCAAAGGGACGAAACATGATTTCAGTTCCGACTGCCGTGCAAACCGCGAAATACAACTCACGTGTTCCTGATGTGTTCCTATGGCTTCCTGTTTTCCGCCCCCATTGCTTCAAAACATCTTCAATACGTTTCCTGCTCAAAGGGTTCGAGAAGTCCTTCCTCACAGGTTCAAGAGAACAATGGCCCTGATCGTTTTTCATGGTTTTCGGATCCTTCCATGTCAGACAAACAAGCACGACGTCCACAAACACCATGCCCCCCAAAGCCAGGTCTCTCTCCCACTGGTCCCCGAAGGCCGGTGTTTCCAGCATCCAAAAACAACGAGAAACCAGCACCTGTCCGAGGCACCTTTCCTGCAAACCCTCCAATGCCATGGACATGTTGTTCATGTGAACCCATCTGTAGTTGAGCTCATTTGAGCTCTGAAACCTGAATTGCTGTGGATCCAAAAGCGCAAAACTCCTCCTGTGTGGCATCCCTTGCTTCGTCTACTCTACACAGCTCACCTCTAACAAAGCACACCAAAAACATCCAAAAACACTGGGAGAAAAAAAAACTGACTCCCACCCACCACATCCTTTCGATGTTCTTCCTCACCTTTCTTTCACGGGCGACCGCCGCTCAGCACGCCATATTCACGCTGGTGTCCCACCCCCCAACCCTTGTCGTCGTCCACGTCGCGACCGGGCGCCAGTGGTGTCGGGTACGTCGTTCGCCCGGTCCTCGTGCTGCTTGGGCCCCAAGGACCGCAGCTTGCTGGGCCGCACGTCCACGTCGCAGAAGCTCTCGCCGTCTAGCAAGGGCGAGAGCGGGAGCCGACACGGGGGGAGGGCGGTGTGGAGCACAGCTTCGGGGAGAGGAACCCGGGACATCGAGCGCTGTGACGTTGAATGGTCGCCCCTAAGGGTTTGAGTCTCCGAAGCGGAGGTCTCCCCCCAGGCAACGGAGGTGCGAAGTCACCTCCGTTCGAGCATCCGACCAGCAGGAACCTGGAGCTATGGGTAGCAAAAGACCAGGAGACCCGACGAACGCATGGTATCTATAGGGGTGCCGAAACATGGTGGGAAGGGGCGTCTATGAACCAAGCCAAGAAAGGTCTACACACCACCCACTTTGTGTTTGGTAGAATCAATTGAGCTTGTGGACTTAGCACCTCTCAAACAAAGACCCAGAAACTCCCAAACACAGAACCATTAAGTATACTTACATACATTGGACTTGGAGTGCTTGATTTCAGGGCTAAATGTGAATGTGCCAGTCCCAGTCCCAGGTCGTGTGTGGGAGTTGTTTAGGTGCCGTCTCTTCAACGCCTGATGAATTCACCAGCCCACACAAACAGGCCGATACATTAGAAGGTTCCACTCTTGCCGTTCCCAGCACGCCCCTGATGTCACCGCGGCTTGCTACCTTTGCGGTTTAAAAGGTTCGATGGCACTGGCTACTCTGAAACCACTGTAACCAAAAGGACCGGAAGTCACGTGCAAAGAGTTCAGGAGAGACCTTTTGATCAGGGCACCAATCTGCCAAGAAACAATTTCATCAGTTGACATGACCTCCAAAAACAAGTTAATCATAAAACGCTAAAACAATCACTAACAAACGCATTCCACCTTCCTCAAATTCCACCTCCGTCCTCGTCCATCCTCATCCTCACACCAGCCACTAGGGTCAGCATCCGTCCTCCATCCTCACACCAGCCACCGACCTCCATCCATCTCTCGCCCGCACCGAGAAACCCAAGTGATAGCAGGCCAGATCGCTCTTGTGCGGCAGGATGGCGCCAGTGGACTCGCGTCGCGTCGATGCGCGTCGATGCGCGTCACTTGGAAGAACTCCAAAGGTCACTTTGAGGGTCCTGGTGCTTAGTAGGGAATAAGGGAATGAGCCCCCAGTAGAGACTCTATTGGATCCATTCCCTCATTCCCTGCTAAGCACCAGTCACTTTGGATCTCAAAAGGTCACTTTGAGGGTCCTGGTTGATCTCTTTTGGAAGTTTGGTTGACCAGCCGTTCATGAATTGTGGCTCTTTTTCCAGGATGTGGACCAGGGGCCATGCCAGCCACTCTAAACCGAGTTCCAAAGTTGGATGGCAACTTGACGTTTCCCTTCCTGATGTGGGCCCTATAAGCCCTGAAACCTCTCAAAGACCCTAAGAACACGGAAACATTATAAACATAGTTAGTGGACCTCAAGTAGATAGTGGCACGGTTTCCAAAACATGTTTAGTGGGGATCTGCTTTTCTATCAATTTGAGGGTCTAGAAAATAGAATGAAATAGAATCAACAACATCCCAAGTCTTTCCCAACAACCCCAGCATGCACCGGCATGCACAGCATGGCCTTCGTCACCAGGCTGACCAACTTCTTGCAAAGCACCTCGCACTCGACCCAGACTTTGCCGTCCCTCACCCTTAGCACGAACGGAATGCTCCACGTCGAATGGAATGGTCCTCCTGCCTCACAGGAAGTGCGCCGTCTTCCTCATCTTCCTCTACACTGGAAGCGGGTGGCATGGCTGGCGCCATCCACGTAAACTATGATAATTCCAGGTTGGCTGAGTGATGCCAAGGTTGGTCGCCAATTGAAGCTCCAAGGTTGGTGCAGTTGGAAGGTGCCCCCCAATGTCAACCGCCTCGGCTTCTCCTGCAGCACCAGAAACAGTCCAACCAGTGCAGGACGGGGTCACCCACCCCGTGAGCTTTGCACCAACCCAGTGAGCTTTGGGGCATTGCCAAGGCATCCCACCCCCAGGAGCCTGAGAGGCGAACGGAGAAACGAACGACTTCCGTCACATTCGCCGATGATCCGTCATTTTGGTCGAGTCGATGCCCAGCAACATGGAACAGGAGCATCAATGTATGGATCAGTTAATATACATATAATATATACATAACAGTTACATAAGTTACATAAAGTATAATATACATTAATTAGGGTCATAAATGGGGTATATAACCATTTCATATCATGGTCTGGATGGAACAGGACCAGCCAGGGTGGAAAGTCCGGCTTTGGATGGCGTCTTCTAAGGCATCCGGCTTTGGACCAGTCGGGTGAACGAAGCGTCTGGGTCAAAAGCATCCGCCAGAAATCGCTCCATTTCGCTTAGCTCCAAGAATCGCAATACCAGTGATTTGCCTGAATCGGTCCAGGCTCTTCTCGTCCGCGGATAAGTGCTGCTCGATCTCCTGGCGACAGCAAAAATCAAAGCAAAATACCCTCCGTCCAAATATGGGCACCAGTCGTTCGCATGTTGGGTTACGTTTTTGCTTCTGCATCCATGTATATCCATGCATGTGAATCCCTTTTTTCATGTCCCCAGGAGCCACCTCCTCCGAACTCCGAACCTTTCAATTAGGGCCGGGCCTATACGGTTTCTTGGGGTCAGAGCGCTCCACAAGAACATGTTTCACATGGTTTCCCTGTAGAAACTGGTCTTGCTGGCCATCCCATGCTTCCCCTGACAATTTGTTCGTTGGAGTGTAGAGCAAGGGTTCCATGCTAAGGACATTGGACAAAAGCTTACAGTAACGGTTCTATTGCGACACTCTTCTAGTCTAGGGTTTATGTCTATGTCATGCTCGCTCGTTTCCATGTGACCGACGGCACGCCTGCCGAAAAGCAGGTGGTCGACTGGAGGCGGCTGGTATGATGTTTCACTTGAGTCACTTGAGGTTGAACTCACACCAGATTCTGCTTCTAACATCCAGCAGGAGACTTCCAAGACGCCCACTTCCTGCAAGAAACATGGGCTCGCTTTCTGCAGCGATGGGCTCGCGCCTGGACCTGTTCTCACGACCTGGTTAGGGAAAAAAGCACCTTCCACACTCCCCTTCCGAAAACCACCACCCCGCAGTGTGGGCCGCAGTGTCGTGCCTGCCAAGTGGTGTATTTTTCCACCTCCTCGTGCTTCTCACCTTCATTCAACAGCCGGCAGGTGTCTTCCACGATCTCCTGACGAAGCCGGCAGCCGGACTTTCATTGAACCCCCAGATATCTAGAAGCAGATTGGGGGTCCACTTTTGGGACAGGTTCTGCCCAGTTACCAAGAGGGGATGAGGTTGTATTTGGTGCCAAGGGCGCCAGTCGAAGGGTCCAGCCATATCTGCGGGCAAAACAGAGCCGCGATCGTCTTGGCACGCCGATATCGGCTGACAAACGGTGTGACGCATCGAATGCATCTTCTTGGAAACGCATCCGGGAATCCGGCCGACTCACATCCTGCCGAATCAATCGAACCAGCAAACTCTCACCACCGGCGAAGTCGCCCTACCCGGTCGGACACCACCGGTCCCGGCGAAGCGGAAGCGTCGGTGGCCCGATCGAAGAATTGGGGCGCGAGTGGCCCGAGAAGAGCAGTTTCTCATGAACGGATCCCAGCTGTGGACGGTCTATGATCCATCTGTTTAGTTTCTGAATGAGCTATACCCCGCATGAAGCAAGGAAAAGGATGTGCTGCAGATCGGATGTGCAGACCGCTCCTTGTCACACAAGGGCAGGAACTCCTCCAAGTTCAAAAGCTCCTTCGATTTGGTCGTCTGCAAGCGTGCGTGAGGGCAGCAAATCAAACATGTCTCTCGCTGATGTCCTTCCCAAAGGGTGTCAGCATCTTTATGTCGTAAGCAGATGGCACTGGCACCCCCAAGATGTCTACGACAAGTGGAGGTCCTATCTGAAACCACCTGGACTTAACTTGGGTCCTTGTGCTATCTACTCTCCACGTCCTCGTGCTCGTTCAACGATCAGGGCTCTTGGCCGAACATGTCCCCTCTTTGGGGCAACGAGTCAATTAATGTAGACTCTTGATTAATAACCCCCCCCCCAGGCCTGTCAAATGGGTGACAACAAATAACTCTTGAAGACAGTGTTTCAAAGGATCTCAGTGTTGTCCGCGCTCTCCTCTGGATCGCCTTCGTCGCCTTCTGCCATGTCTTTTGCTCGAACCTTCTGTGCTGCCACTGGAGCGGGCAAGTCCTGGATGACTGGGCGACCGTTTCTGAAGATGCCTGTTTGATGATGCGGCTGGAGCACATCGAGGCTTAGTTATAAGTACCACCGGCGGATTTTCATCGCGACGGAGACCTGGAGAGTCTGGTGCTGACCCTCTCTGTATAATATACTATACACATACTATACAATATATATGTATACTATATACATGCATGCTATATTATATATATAACACTGTGCACTACACTGTGCCTGTATATTTATAGCATATATTAATATAACATATGTTTTTTTTCATGTATATGTACATTCGTGCAGTAACATGCATGTTTGCTCGAGCAAGGGATAGTGCCCTCTCGACACCAGCGGCTGACTGGACCAAGTGGTGCACACATCCCAAAACCGCACATCCCATGGGTCAGGTGACCATAGTAAGCATTGATTTACACTGGATCAAGGGAAAACTCGGCCGGCAGTAGGACCTGAAATGTTCAAACACTCGCTCTATAACCAAAGATCATCAAAGATCCACTCCAGGGTATCATGGCTACGTGGATGGCATGCCACCTCGGGTGACGATTTTCCGTTTTTGTTTGGTTCACTTCGATGATGATTTCAGGGAGTGTATACGGTTGCTCAATGCGCAAAACAATGAATTGCTGCTACCTGAGGCTCGTTCTTTTCAGCTCATGGTCCTATGATGTCTTATGCACGTGTGCTCTTGGGGTGGGTAAAAAGTCTCACACCAGCTCAAATACCTGGAACATCAACCATATTGGTTCACAGCCCCAAGTTATATACAGTACTTCTTTGTTGCTGTTTTTGCTTCTTTGTTGTGTTCTTGCTTCCTTCGGGGCCACTTTACCTTCGGAGGGAGGTCGGGGCCAACCAGTGCTTGAATTTTTGATGCAAGTCGTCTCCTCCACATCCTGTTCTTCGACTGGTTCAGCATCTTGTTGTTCACCAGGACCAGCATCTTCTCCCACTTGCCCCTCTTGTTGATCAGCTTCTTCTTCTTCGTCGTCCTCCTCTTCACTAGGTGCTAGTTCTTTCACTTGCGCTTCTTGATTGGGTTCTTCCTCTCCTTGATCAGGCTCTTTCGTTTCATCAGGCCCTTCTTCAAACCGCTGAACTGCTGTTGAATGCAGCTCTCGAAAGGCCTTGCTGGGCGACGTCGGATTTTCCGGTGGGTGACACGAGGGCAGTGAGCACGGAGCATGGAAGGGAACCTGCTGAACTTCCCGGCGCCGAGTTCAGTCCTGTACAAGTACCCAGACATGCTCCATGAGCAACGCCCAACCGGAATGACTCTCTTTCTGGGCCCGAACTCTCAGGGGTCATCACTTGTGGGTTTAACGAAGAAGGTTTCAATGGTATGGACCAATGCCCCTGCATCCTGCTGAACCAGACATTCTTTATATACATCTTACTAAGTGGTGCGTGAGGTCCAACCACCTGAAACCAAGTGGTACCGACCATAGGAGGTAAAACCATGACCGCGTGTATTTAAGGTGGTCAATGTGAACCATGCGAACGCACATGTTAGCACCAAGTTCCGACACCCTGATACTGTCTGCAGGACTATGGGCCCTATACTCTGAAACATTGGTGCGATGTCCGACACCCAATCGACACCATCATGTCTCCAGTGAGAAATAGCTGTTTCTCTGCTAGGGTTGCTGTTTGTTCCAGAGTATTCCATGATTGGCCCTCCAAAGAAACGCTTTATAAAATATATATGGGTTGGTATTTAAAGAGCCCCCTCCCAAAGGAATTTGGTCCATATGGTCTATGATTACTTCTTCCAGTGTCTTGGGCCAAACGTAGCCATGTTCAGACCCAATCTGGTCCATCATCCCGTGGTACCACGCGGCCGGCCTGAGTCGAGTGCAGAAGGACGACCAGGGCAGCCAGCAACATGCGCATCGAAGTCATGGCTTCTGTGGATTGCGAAAACAACTACCGCACGTCCGACCCGAGATCGGCTGCAGAATCCACATGCGAATGCGGCCAAGCAATCGTGGACCGCATGCTGGCTCATGCTGGCGATGGGCGAAGCGAACTCTGAAAGGTGCCCAGCATGCGGCTCCACGGTTAGGCGGCGTGGGCACATGCCAAACACCGCATCGGTCCAGCTGGAGGATGTTCACTGCCCTAAGAATCCGGGTCCTCAAACACATAATAGCTTTTGGATGGCTTTGGAGGGTCCGGACGCCATGGAGGGCTACAGGATCCTTTGGGTGCGAAGGTTAGATCCACGATCCAACATGCCGTCGTCCATCCCCCAACGACCTCCTCCGGCCTCCCCTGAACCCCTCCAGAAGCACCGCGGTCGAAGCATCGAAGCAAAGCGGTTTGGGGATGGTTTTTGGGCGGTCGTTCCAGCAGCAAATCGTCCAACGTGGTTCGTTCGCCCCAACAATGGCTCGATGGGAGCTTGGATTTGCATAGGTAATGGAAAATCACCTCAAGCAAAACCAGGCTGGCATGGTGACCGATCAGTTTCGTGGTTGTTGATTTCAAAAAGTCCATGAGCCTTGTCACATCTTCCAGTTTCCATCGGGCCGAACGTCTGGATGTGGTCAAGCTCGGTCCTCGACCTGGTTCTTCATCTTCAGGCCAAAATCATTGAATTGGGTCTCGTGAAAGCTGGGGTGAGGGCTCAGAAAGCCTTATCATGATCCGTTGAGCCAAGCCGATGATAACTCCATTAAGAACCCAACCACTCCAAACAGTTGAACATGGACGTGACTCCCCCAAAAATGAATAGAGCATAATAAACCCTTATAAACCTAATACACCCTAGGGCTCCAAGTGCCTCCTCGGTCTTCGGACCCTCCTGGCACCTACCCCAGTCCCACCTTCTCACAAGGTACGACTGGATCCCTCAAGCACGTATACCATATGTATCCCTACAAGTCAAAGACCTCATTTTACTGGAAGATGGTCATACAAAACCAATACTTAAGGAGGTATATAAAAGACCAGGTTTTACTGGGTCTTTGGACTTCTAGGGTGTACAATACTACAGCCAGTCATTAGTATAGCATGTTTCTAGTACTTCCAAACGGCGCTTGTTGCTCCGTCAGGTCCTTGAACCCTCCGGTCCCCCCGAATGACCCAGCAGCTGCGGCGTCTCGCCCCACTGGTCCTTCATCACCATGGGCACCCCCCCCGAACTCGGTCGCCGCGGTGGGCGCCGGGTGCCTTGATCCCCCCCAAAGCTGGCGGCATCAATATGTAGATTTCATAGATTTTTACCATAACAAAAACAATAAATATAGAATCAGTAATATGTATTTAAGAATGCAAATATATTATGTATATTTGCTTTATTTTATATGTATATTTTTTGAATTGGACCCAGTGGAGGGCGCTTGGGGGGGCGTCCAAGAGTGAGGGCTTGGCTGGTGCTTTGGGATTGGTGATTTTCCAAAAAGACAAAAGTAGAACATATGTATGTAACGTCACAAATATGTGAGTGGAGTCATGGAATTAAGCCAACACCTCGTGTTCTTCTATATCGGAGCTAGACACAACTGTGACAATTGGGACAATTGGGGAATTTATTGGCATCATATTTTTACTTGAGAGGAGGGAGACACGAAAGGTAGGACAGCGGGAAGAGAAGAGAACGCGAGAGGCAGGAACAAAAATGCAATGTTCGACATGGTGATTTATCCCCTCGGAGGCGACCTTTCGTAAGTATATGTTCATATGCACTTTAAATGTTCAAACATGTGCTCTCGAAATGTTCAAAAAGATTCTTAGGAAAACAAACTTGCCCCATGACTCAGATCATCGGTGAGCATTCAATCGGAACATCATCGGATTTGAACTATCCTGAAACCATAAGAGGCTCACGAAGACGCTCCGCAGGAGAGAATTGACGTGCTTCACAAAACAAACTCTAGGTATGTATCCCCTCGGGGAACACCTTTCGTGATTAGAATTTCATATTCACTCTTTCTGAATGTTCAAGAGGGTTTCAACTATCCTGAAATCATGAGAGGCTCATGAAAACGTTCTCCAGGAGAGAATTGATTTTAGAGGGGGGGAGGGGGG